GCTACAAAAAGGCCGGTTACAATTTTTCGTTCGGGGCAGAATTAGGAGAGCAGAAACAGTAGACCCTAAGCACAAGTTTTTTAGAAGTCGATAGCCACAAAGTTTAAGAGAACTTGACATTTGCAAGCAGGCAGTTCATTGGGCATACTGCACAGTGGATTTACTATTGAAAAAGTGTTTCTAACAGTGACGTATTTTCGTCACGTATGCGAGACCTTCAAATCCTAACTTTATTCAATCCAGGATTTACCAACACACGTTCCGACGTTTTGGTATACCATAAAATTACAATTAGTCGAATAGTGTGGCCGATTTATCGAGCTTTATTTTTTTGTTGTGTCAAGTTATATAGTCACCATGCCTGCTGTTCGAAAGCTACCGCATATTTGTGCAATAATGGTATTTCACACTGGACTTCGTTGGTAAAAGTGCTTCCGTCTGGAAGGTAGAAAAATGCAGATACAGGACAAGCCTATTGTGGTGTACGGAACTTCTGGTTTCCGCATGATTGGTATAGTTGTGCAAACTCATCAGCTCTGCAGACGCGGTATGAGATTTCCCACAGCAGCGTCTCGATAACGACGTTTTGCGTGACTTTTGTTCCCTGACGCACTACTTCTGTCAGAAGCGAAGAAGATCGCTGCCGTTCAGCTAACGCTTAAAAATACGCTTTAAATCTAAGATCAGGTATTTCAATCTGCAGCGTATATATCTGTCACGTAGAATCAATAGTGACAATTGATTTGCTGTCTTACAAGATCTTACAAGGTAAATTTAGTTTAGGAGGGACCTTCAATATAATAAGTAGACACGAAGACCGTAGGAATCTTCTTTACCGACCCGTATTTTCGAGGTTCAACTTGAAATGATAGATACCCGAGTGTGCACGAAATTATGATGATTCGTTTCAGGTTTTACTGGATTACACAGTTTATAAGCGGCAGCAAAAAATTGCCTAGTCGTTTGACGGTCGCTCATTTGTCTAGTCAGACAGGCATGCCGATTGGCACTAGGTCGTACTTATTAGACTATTTAGCTAGTGCTGTTCCAACACTCACGTAGATCTCAGAAGGGAGACCAGATAAAATGAACAATCTCAGTAGGCAAGACCAGCAGACGTCATCGAAGATATGGCCGAATGAAACTACCCTAAAAAAAACTACAAAACTACAAAGAGGACGCTGACCTCCAAAGCAACCGTACCTTTTTTCTCTGGAAGTTGAGGACAAATGCATTACACAGCCCAGACTTCACAGCTGTTTTGTTTATCTGATACTGTGGGACTCTTACCTATTAAACCCTGGACTTCTTGGTTCGGTTATTACTTTGAAGCTACCGCACCTAACAATGTGGTACATTACCTCAGTGCTGCCAGTCAAAGCTGTTTCACATAAAGAGTTATTGGAGCGTGTTTAGACCTTAGGCGCCACTCGGTTATTCACGATATGAGGGCGCGCAATTTATGCGAAGCTAACATACTTCACAGTGATGTGATATTAATGAAACCTGATTGGACGCTACGAACTAACATAGTTTAAGTTGATTTAATGTCAGGAACTATACAGTTGAGCAACTATCGAAGGAAAGTGGATGCACGAAAACGCTTGCCCTATTCCTTACCTACTACTGCCTACTTCAATTGTTGACTGTTGACGATCCGCCGTAAGTAGTTGCATACAACGGTGTACAAATGGCACGAAAGGACACATGATGTGGATCTTAGCCCGAGGGTCGAAATTTAAAATAGGCTGTAGAGTATCAAAGCAAACAGATAGAAACTACAGGTCCATTCCGCTAGAATAGCATTTGCCCGAAGACGTCGTTCGGGGTCTAATGAAGTCATTTGATTAGGCAAATATTATAACCTCGGCATGGAAAGTAGGTATTGGCTATAAAAAGTGTATTATTAAAATCGCCCAAGTACCTTAAACTAAGAAGTCTGATAAAGAATAAAATCATAGTGAATGATAAGAACACTATATGTAGGGTAATCCGTCCGTAAATCCGAAGATGGCTGATGTATTCACAAAAAAACAAGAGAAAGTAGACACCTCCCTGAAAGGAAAGGTGTTAAAATATATATGTATATAGCGAGCGTCTATTTCGTATGTAGTCATTTACTCAGGCCATTTAGAATGCTATTGCTTTTATCGCTTCATTTTTGTGGAAAAGAGGACGCCAGGCAAGATGGCCGCGACGTATTCCCTCACTGTCATTCTATCATCGGTTTCTATAGATTGCGTGTGGTCAGACGCATGTCTGTTTCTTCATGATTAAGTACACCAACTGATCTGTGGGACGAGTTGAGTTGGTGCTCCAAAGATGTTTCAAGCGTTTATGTGGCCAACACGATCACAGAACCGTATATTAGAAAGCCTGCGAATGTCAAGTTATTATTATATTAGGGGACATAAAGCAAAAGCATCTTAGAAAAAATAAAAATGCGTAGCTAAGTTAGGGAGAAAAGGTTTAACACGACAACACGCTAACTAAACGCGCACTGTATTGAAATATCCATTATGTCAGAGAAGATCACATATCGATAATATCTGAGATTAATAACCATTTAAACTTAAGCATGTCCAGATATCTATGATTTCGATGTAAGTTAAAGTATCCATATATACGCCGTGCGTGTGGCACACGTTTATACGTGCGCCTATGCTTAAGGTAGCATGTTTTATTTTACTATGGTGATCGATCATCTTTCAGTGGAAGAATAATTAATTATCATGTGTAAGCGTCCGTGATATTCAAATGTGTCCTTTGACTGGCTTATTCATTTATTGTTAAGGGTGTTATGATTGTCCTGCGAATATAAGTGACAAAAATGTAAATTTTAGCCTCAGTTATGTGCTAGCGAAATTTTAAAAAATACTGCTACAAATTAACTGATTTACCTGCTTCTTACAAGCGAGGAAAAATGTACGAAATTGTCTACCACTAGATTATTTAAGCCAGATAAAGAAGGGCTGACTTGTTCTATAGGACTCTTCCAATTTGTGTGCCTATTTCGATTCCAAACTGTGGTACTATAGCATAGCGATCACATGGCATAAAGATCCTGTTTCCGATATTTTGCGACAAAATACCTCAATAAATGTTTTATAAACGGCCGAAAATGCTTCTTTTCAACATTTAAGAGACAAGTGTTGCCAACAAATGTTCGTGGCCCACGACTGTTATTCCCTACCAGAAATGCTGGATATAAATTAGCCATTTATCGTAGCCCCTAGAAACATCTATTATAAGAAAAAAAAAAAACACAAACTTATGTTCGTTCCTTCAGATATAGATAAGTGACACTAGATTGAATGAATTTTGTCAAGTGAGAGCCCCAATTTATGAAGATGGCCAGACGGATTCCTACCGGCAAGGCAAGCCCTCAACTAAACACTGATCCAACGTAATTGTTACAAGTGCTTATATACTGGCCATTTTCGTTACGGAATTCGTGTAGTGTACCGCAGCGGCCTTTTATTAGGGAATTAGCGACTACTACTGACTAAGGATATGGGAATTCTAAATGAGTAGTAGCAAATATTCCTTTGGATAATGGATTGGTATACTTCGTCATAAGTATCCGTGAGCTTTAGTAGTCCGTGTTTTCTATTCGTACCCCTGACAACTTCTGATACTATCAAATGGTGAGTCCTCTCTGTCTTGATAAAAAGAGGAAATTTTCACAAGTTCAGCAGATATCTACGGGTGTCAAGTGAGGCTGGCGTATTGCGCGTGGACCATTTAAGTTCGAAGCTGAAGTCTGTGCGTTTTGTCGGTGCTGTATGATGGAAAAGAGGCAGGGCTTTTTCTAGAGGTGTTATATTGACAATTTTGCTTCAGGTGACGCTGAAATTTTCTCTAATAAAGAAAGCAGCGTTCAGGACGGCTATACCAGCCTAGTGGTATTGAGGCCTGGAAACGCGCCTTGCACCTATAGTTCATTGCGGCCAGTCATGTTAAATTCAATTTCGAATCTAACATACGTATATTAAGTTAAACTTTGTAAAACGAAATAGCTGACTGTTTTATTGTCTAATTCTGAATATATACATTTCCGTTGTCTCTTCTCTTCTGTTATTACTTATAATAAGGTAGTATATAGCCTATATACGTACAAAACGATCCAGCAGCAATTCTGGTAAGATTGGTTCCGTCCACATTCGAGCCACTATGTGCCTTTCCCATATAAATGAATAATGTGTCCAATAAAACTGTTTGGTTTGCTACTTGTCTCGAAGACTTTTATTTAATCGTCTTATATAAGATATTAGTAATTTGGCTCTCTACAGGGGCCTGTTTCTGAACGATCCAAGTGACACCCCTGCCTTTGTGGCATAATCGTGATTGCATCGATTTGAAAAACTAAAAACGGCCGTCCGTGTTCCCTACTAAGTAGATGCGCAGCCAATCAACACTCATTCAACGCTTTTTCTTTTTATTCTCCCACCTGGTCCAACCTGGTCTAACTGGTCCACCTGCCTGCCTTCCTTCCTACCGGTTTACATGCTAAGTAATTTTAAATCCCAATAGTAGAATAAGTCTGTTAATTATACCTAAGTAATAAGAATATTTGTATACTCCATTACATGCCGATCGCGAATCTTCGATGTTCCACAGCATAACAACATGCTGAAAGCTAAATTTGTTCATGGCATATTTGTATGCACGGCCTGACGGCCTGCTACTAGCAGGCCACGCGAGAACGGCTCACGTATCTTAATCATTTTCGACCCAACCCAAAAAAAAACTAACCGCTTGCATACTGTTACATAATTTTGTACTCGACACGCATCGTTAAAGCTGTGCATAAATTGATAATATAATAATAAAATAAACAAAAAATAATATTTTTTATATAGATATAGTAAAAACATTGTTATTAACATACGAGCAAAATGCACCCCCATCCGAATACGATGTTGGTTTGTATTGATGTAGCCCCATAAGTACGTGCAAATAGTTTACGTATACATGAATAGAACCTTAAGCTATATAATGATATAAGTCCGATGTTCCTCAGTCAGCCCAATAATCTCGAATGGTCCTTCACTTCACCGAATCAACAACGTTCACTGCAAGACGGATAACATAAAATGCATTTAATATTGTATGAGTATGTACTTTCATCTATAATAGCTAATAACAAATATTTAAACGAAACAAACATTATCAGGTAGCATTAATCCGGTTCAAAAAACCGCGGTATAAAAATGGTCGAAGTTTGACGGCGACCTAATTGTCTGCCTGTTCATGAAGGGGGTAGGCATTGCTGTTCGGAACGCGATGCTTTCGGAAACGGCAAAACATAGCGTATGATATTAACAGATTCAGCTTGTATAGTTCACAACGTCGACGCTGGCCGGGTAATGTAACAGCTTGAGTAACGTTCTAAATAGAGCGTCGTGGTTTTACATGGCCAAAATAGTAACTATCGAACGTGTGCTTGAAAGGTTTTCGGAACGTTCGACTCTCTAAGAAGAGCTGCTTTCTTAAATGAGAGCAGCTCTTCTTAGCACTATGCAAAACCTAACGTTGTTCAACTGAAAAAAGACAAAACATTTTTTTTTTTGTTGTAGAAACCGGATAATGTGAAAAGTAGCTAAATGACAACAGCGCTCATTTAATAGTAATTTTTAAACTCCTTTTCTGACGGATAAGATTTTGGATTAAACAAATTCGATCCCTGGAAATCAGCAATAATTTTGTAGAGTCTATATGCAGCCTTTAGGTTTTACTTCATGTAATATAAAAAGTTCCCGGTGAGGTACTTTCACTGCGTACAAACAATCATTCACATACATTACATAAAGACCGATCGTGATGTCCACCTCAGCCTCACTCTCGTTTAGATACGAACATTGAGGTTTGCTGGATGAAAAGCGCTTCAAATTTACAATTTTTTTATTAACGCCATCTGGTACTCTCGGCCAGGATTCATTGTCCGCTAGATGCTGGCACCCCTCAACAGCGTGTATATTATATAACACAAAGGAAATCACCCCTGTCGCTTGTAGCTACAGCAACCGCTTCGGCTGATATGAAAAGTAAACCAAGGGTTTCCGATAGCGGATAGCTTGATCACTGATAGTCCCACGACCTTTACATGGTTTTGGTGGAAATGGTAACAATAACGTCCAGCCGATGCGTACACGCGGGTCGCTTAGAGACGACGGGTCCATGAAACATAGCGTTTCGGATATGCCACGCGATACAGACGAGTATAGTAGGCTATGAACGTTTCATATGTTTGTTAGAGGAGAAAACGGCCTAGATCGAACCATTGCAAGCAAGCTAACAACAATGGCTTGAACATGAAGACTCTACATTGGTAAAGTAGATGTCATCAGCAGACCAGTTTACGTAGCCGAGAAACTGAAAATCCTCTAATTACGTTCAAAAGATAATAATTTTTCTTTTTATCGATATATGCACAAGTTTTTGCCATGATAGTTTAATTATGAAGATTGCAGTGCACACTTAGAGTAGACTGGCAAATTTATCTTCTACGATTTTTCCCTTCGTTGCAAAAGTCTCATTATATAGCCTTCTTGTTTCCTTTAACCTAGCAGGTTGTCGTCGTTCAATTATGGCGACAATCCTCTTCTTCTATGTAGAGTACGCCAAGCCACTCTTGTATTAGTCGAGTCGTCAATTGCTGTTAGATAACGTACAGTTTACAGTAGCTCACACAAATTGAATGTACCTAATTAATGGGCACACTATATAACAAGTTCCTACAAACGGCGGAATTTCATTATCCATTTTTTGTCGTACTTATGAGTTAGGCATGTGTTAGGAGTATTATGTGTATACATATTTTTCCTCTCTTGGGAAAAGAGACCTTGCTAGTACTATAAGGCCGTTGTATATGAGTACTAAATATTCAAACACACACTGTGTGGTTCAGAGTTCATCTGTGATCCAATACATCATTGGAAGCGATGAAAACCCCTTGCCGATTGTAACTAGAAGGAATTCACTGTATTCTCGCCTATATATCTATATACATACATATATACCTGTTATCTGGCCAGTAATTTCTCGTTGTGTGGTTCGTTCTGCGTGTAAAGGCATTTATATATCAGATGTAAAAATAGTTTGATCGAGTAAGACCAGCCCGTTCCGAGGTCAGCGATTCCACGGAGCACCATTTAATTTATGGAGAGAAATAACACAAATAATAAATCAGAGCTAGTAATTCATCACAGGACGAAACTGTATTACCGGCACCATGCACCTTTACAAAGTCAGCCTGCCCACCCCTGCCCTGTCGCCTGCCTTATTGGTGATGATAGCTCGCCAAAGCGTCACCATTGAAGTTAAGAGGATCTCAAAGGTCGCCACATTTGCGTATCTCATGCATAGACATTTTAGTTCAAAAGGGCCGACTACGAATCACATTTTGAAGCCGCAAGTATCTAAAGACTTCTCACCTGATCTATCCGAAAATGTACTGTGTCCTTACGAAGCCCGCGCATACATAGGTGCTGCGTATGTCTAAAAGATTGTGAACATTTAGAATGTACTTAAATGATATGGGCCTGATTTAGATGAAAATACGATCTTAGATCAAGCATGCAGCTAAGCTTAAAACACAACAGAGTAGGACGTGCGATCAACTTCCTGAGAAAATTATCTTCGATATTTTTCGCGTGAAGGCCGCGTCATACTTGCCAGCTGGTATGGTCTCCTGCATATTTTTCTAAAATACCAAGGTAAAAGCGTTTTTAACAGTAACACGTGCAGTGCTACAGAATCACCAGAAGCTGTCGATGTCAGAGCGACTCAGCTGGCACTTGATAGTGTCACTTGATGAAAGAGATGCGACTAGTTGTTGTGAAGTTGCGCCTTTTTTTTTTTTCGTTGTTTTCACTCGGCTTCGCGAGAACTAACGAGTAGGTTGGATAGACCGCTCTACAATCGATTGTACACAGCCACACAGAAACACCTTTACAATACTGAGTTTGTTCAGTCGCGTGTTTTTGACATGAATTCTATTGTCTAAGGTTGTCGCGCCTTGCCGCCTTCTAACGTAGCTGATACTGCCAGTTAAATCGGTCCGGTTGTCTTACGATCGACGTTTCTCTACCGGTTCTTTCCACGTGCGCTTCGTTTATCGTAGTAGGCGATTCAAACCCTACAGCTTGTACGTAAAATAGACCAAATATGGCAGCAAATGTCGTGTTCGTGAGTAACTGTACATGGACAACTTTTTCACTGACGTAGTGATATTGGCCAGGTTCATTGTGCCTAGTACTACATGTTGTACACGGCTGTTCTGCGCAGCCTGTCGTCTCCAAAATGCGTCGTCGCCGTTGTTGTTGGTCCTGTAATATTAAATTTGCCCAGGTGCACGGTAGGAAGTGGGATTTATTTTCAAGGGTTTCATTTTAAAAGGTGACCACAAACTGGTTGCCTACAATGGTACACAACTGGTTTGTGTGTCTGATTTCATGCGTTTCTAAAAACAGTGAAATTTAACTAACTGGTTATTTTACATGTAATAACCACTATACAGATTAGCTTTCCAAGCCGGTCAGAAATTGTTGCTTGCATCTATCGAAGATGTATGTAAAATAGTTATTTAAATATGAGTGTGAGATTAGAGTTGATATTCAGGTCAGGCCCGAATTCGCACACGTTTATCCAGTGAACTCTAGTTAGTGTAACTTCGATGATGGTACCACCAGATATCAAAGCAGCCCAAAGTTGACTTTCTATTTCGAAGTTTGACAGGATGGGTCCAGAGTCAGGGTCTGCATTTGTCATCTCACGCTTTATCAGCCTCTTCAGATCTAACAAAATGTTATGAGCCGCTAACGTTGAGGCTTGTCCATTGTTCAACTATTTTTTTCATTATGCTAAAATTATTTTTTCAGAAACGTCCTTCTCCTATTGTACGAGCAATGATAGTCATATGTTAAAGTTGACTTCTAGTAAAATTTTCCATTTCATTACTCTTAGTAGTACGCATGTAGCCTGTTCCTGCAAATGACTTGTAGCGCGGCTTGCTCGCAGCTGTGCGGAAAATTTTTCTCGATTCTTGGGTCGAATTTTCACGCAACGGAGCTTGTCCTAGCCATGCCATACTTCACGTGGCCGCCCATAACGTGGTCCATGGTTCAGATAAGGCACTTCTATTTTAGAACCCAGAAACCTGGTGCAGATAATGCGTTTGGCTACATTAAGAGTGCCTTTGCTTGCTCTTTTTTAGCGCTTCATTATGCTATGGATTTACATAACAACAATGCAACCTATAACGTTTTTACTAGCTTACTTCTACACTACCTGTATTGACCATCTGAGCTTACGCTAATTAATTTGTGCGCACTTCACGCTCTTCTCTTTCGACCCAGATAATGCTTCCTCTGCTCAATTTCCTCCAATCTCGTAATGAAAGGTAATATTTTCGATAGTTTTGCCTTGCTTGTCGTACTCTCTCCGCGCAGACCCTTCATCGTCTTCCCGGTCGTGCTTGACTGTCGAAACGTTCATGTTTACCATGCCAATCCTATTACAATATATTCCAATAGACCTGGTTTTTCCGGATGGTGGTAGAAAGGACAACGAACCTTCATTTCACTTTTCCTGTAAATATTCAGATTTGTTTATATTTGCATCTCCACGGTTCACCATGGTTGACCTCTGAACGTCTTAGAATTACTAATTATTTTTTTAATTCATTAACACTTTTTACTTGATAATAATAATATACCGGTGTGGGTTTATGTTCCACTTAAAACGCTTTCGCAGACGACGCTCTCTCTTTTGTCATTTGTTACTCGTTCCTGCCGATTGCTATTCCCTTAACAACAATACGATTGAATGCCCTTTGTTGTACCTTCTTAGTAGTTTCAATTGCCCTGTATATTGACGGTTTGGCTTTTAGGCAGAAGTTTCATTGCTCCAAGTCCCTCTTTTCTCTACACAATACGAAGCACTTATACATAATTAAAATGGACTATCACAAACATTCCAGCTGAGCGCTATACTTTCTCTATGTGCTTTACTAGGTGCTTCAGTAGCATCCAGCATTTTTATCCCGTTTGTGTATGCTACGGCAGCTTTCTTC